GCGGCCTCAGTGCAGACATGGCTTCCGTCCGGGGCCAGCGCTGAGCTGTCACTGCTGCTGTGCCTCCACCGAGGGCATCACCGTGATGTACAGCAGCCAATCTGCCAGAGTCTCTGCCTTAGCAACGTAATGAATGCTATGACTGTGCTCCTCTCTGCCACCATTTTCCAGAAAGTTTGGGCCTTTGGGGTCAATGAGAAGGACGGGTAGGATCAATATGTTCATGCTACTGCAGGAAGAGTTGCCTCAGTCATTCATGCAGAACTATTCCTGGAGTGCTTCTTCGATTATCAATCATGTTAGGAACACACAATAGAAAATGCAGGTGTACAGAGCACCTGCCCAGTAGCTAGGATTACTCACAGAGTCAAACCTCACTTTTTAATACGAATGCTAAAAAACAACACCAAGGTTAATTATTTGCACTCGAAAATGTTCATGGATTTCCTAACACACATTATATAAAGATAAATCTAAGAAAGACATAAAGAACATATGTGTTCATTAACATTCTGTATCAGCCTAGAGAAATGGATGGTTTGCCCAATCGCTGTTAAAGTGTCTGTGTCTCTCTAATAAGTGCATACACCTTCTGGAAAGAAGAGGAAAGAAAGGAAAGAAGGAAGGAAGGTAGGAAGGAAGGAAGGGAGAGAAACGAAGGAGACCTCAGACTCCAGACATAGTGAGAGGCACACAGAGCGATGATCAGGAGCAGGGACGATGATCGACCTTCCTGGGCTGAAATCCCTGTGGGGAAACTTAAAGGCTATATAGCCTAATCCATATTCCCGAGTCTATGGAATCTTACTTATATCAACTGCAGAAGAAGCCCATAGGCTGTGAAAAATGAAAGAATTCCACACATATAACACACATAGGATATTTCTTGGTATATGTGAGCATAGAAGTTATTAAAACTGTTAATGTGAGTAAGTAAATGAATAAGGATGATATGCACACACATATAGAAAACCACTATTTGAAGTTATATTGTAAATATGGACAACCACTGGCTAGAACAGGGAGAAGTATGAGAAAAACTGTGAGGAAACACATTTCCACTCCCCAACCCCGGATGGCCCACGATGCGGCCTGACACAGGGATAGACCAGCTCTCCTATGCTCACAGGAAACAGAACCTGACCAAAAGTATGTACCACAAAGACCAGTGCAAGAAAAGCCCAGTCAAGGATTTGGGCTCTCTGAAGTCTTGAAAGATTTAAATGTCTCACCACGGGCCTGTGGCTCTGGCCCCCCAGTCCCTGGGAAGCCCTGCACGGGAAAGTCAGGAAAGCCCGCAGGCTGTCTTGTGAAAAGCAGGTGACCTCAGCGTCCCCATGGAGCAACAATGAGGTGCAAGTGAAAATCACTTTACAAAGTGAAGACAGTCACTATGAGAACGAGGTTTCCTTCCATCCCATCACCAGGCCCATGATGTTGTCAAGACAAACAGGCCCAGCTGTGGTGGCACAGGCCACAGGGTACCTCTGAGTGACCCTGGGGCCGTAGGAAGGCCTAGGTTCTGATCCTCGGTTGACCTGGACACCGTGGTCACTCCCGAGACACACCCTGTGGTCCTGACTGCCTGGAAGGTCTCAGCAAAGCAAGACCCTCTCGGGGTCTCACCCTACCACCTGCTACCTAAGTCAACCAAACAATCTTTACACATAAGTAAACGTATCTATGGTGATGGTACTCAAGGTCACCAACACCGATTTATCTTCCAGTTCCTAACTGTACTCTGGGAAAGGGGCCGCAGGCTCAAAGGACTGGAGGAGAGGTCTTCACTGTGAGAAAAGTGAGGTAAGCGAGCATTAGAGGAATCTTGAGACACTCATGAGAGGAGAGAGAGACTGGGCAGAAATCCCATCAATGACATCATCACCACATGCTGCCTGTTTGGTGAGAAAGCACCGAAGTGGAGAAGGAGACAAACTAGGGTTTTTTCATGGTTTAATATGGAGCCTTCCCTGCTCTCAGCATTTTCTTCAGAGCCCCTGTGACATCCTTATTCCGAAGACTGTAGATTAAAGGGTTCAGCACAGGAGTGAGGATGGTGTAGAAAAAGGACACCACCATGTCCTTCCTAGGGGTGTGGTAGGAGCTGGGCAGCATGTAGGTGTAGACGGCGGGCCCATAGAACAGGCTGACCACAGTCATGTGGGAGGAGCAGGTGGCAAAGGCCTTCCTCCGGCCCTCAGCAGAGTTCATCCTGTGGATGGTGAGGAGGATGAATGAATAGGAACTTGAAATGACTATGACAGGGATCAGGAGCATGAGGACACAGCACAGGTACATGAGTGTCTCGTAGACTGAGGTGTCCGAGCAGGAGAGCATCAGTACAGCGGGGACCTCACAGAAGAAGTGGCGGATCTCCCGAGATCTGCAGAAGGGGAAGGTCATGGTGATGGGAGTGAGCATGAAGCCATCCACCGATCCCAGGAACCAGCACCCAGAGGCCAGAAGGAGACACACCTTGTGGTTCATGAAGACAGAGTAACGGAGAGGATGGCAGATGGCCACATAGCGGTCGTAGGCCATGGCTGCTAGAAGAAAACATTCGGAACCCACTAGTGTCAAATAGAGGAACATCTGTATCCCACACCCAGGGGCCGAGATCTCATCCACGCCCATGACCTGGTCTAGGAGCATCTTGGGCACAGTGACGGAGATGTACATCACGTCCATGACAGACAGCTGGCCGATGAGGAAGTACATGGGGGTGTGGAGGCGGCTGTCAGAGTGGATCAGCAGGATCAGGATGGCATTTCCAGACAAGGCCATCAGGAAGATCACAAAAATGACCACACAAAGGAGAGCTGGGTGTTCAGACTGACTGAAGAGTCCCACCAGGATGAAATCCACCCATCCGGTGTGGTTGGCCATCCAGGTCACGTTTTCCGTGTTCTCACCTAGGCCACGAAGCAGAGCCTTGGATTAATGCAGTGTGAGTCTCTGGAGTGATTTTTCGTGAACACACACATGTATGTGTGTGCGCCAACCTCAGTGTGCTGACTGGGAAGGTTTGTTGGGCCTGCAGATTTGGTGATTATAAGCGGCCTGGTTTTTAACAAATTAGAAAACAGAATTTCCAACTGTGGGTGTAAAGAATTGGAAACTCACAGGGAGGCTGACACAGTTCAAAGAACTGAAAGTTCCTGACGACAGAGTCATTTATCACCAGCCTTGGGAACTGCAGAATCTCTGCTCTACACGAACACTAACAGTAAATCCCTGGAAAACAGAGAAATTAAACTTTCTTACAGAGTTGGGGTTTTTTTTGGTTTATTTGTTTGCTTGTTTTTTTGTTTTTTCATAGCAGTGTAACTTAGTAAACCTCTCTGCTTTAAGGATCCAACTATGACCTTAAAACTCTTAGATATTTATTACATAGAAGAAAGATTTAAAAGACTTAGAAACTGAAACATAATTAGGGTAAAGCCATACTGTACATTTGAACCGGCTCTGCCTGTGTGAGGGCTCCCGTGGTGTGGGCTTAGCTTCACATTCCCTGGAGTAGGCAGGGTCCTCATACACACACGACACCACAGAGATCTGAGGGGCACAGGGAGAGGAGTCCCGGCTGCAGCCCTGGGTCAGCTTCTCACCAACCATGCCCTGTGCCCTCTGCACCCAAAGAAGATCATGCGTGACCTCAGGGGACATGAGGACCAAACCATGTGAAGGAATGAAAGTCCTCAGAATACCGTGATTACAGATGAGCACAGGCTTCCTATTAAAGAGTTAGTATCCACACTAAGTTCACTGCAGAGCCCATGTAGAGATGGCTGTTACTATCACTCCCTTATCACAGGAGAGGCATCGCACCGATTCTCCAGTCCAGACTTCCCCAAACACGCAGGAGCCACAGATATGGCTCCTGTATGACCCTGTGCTCAGTGGGCGGCCTGGCCTGGACCAACTGGCTAGAAGGCTGGGGTCTCAGTTATCACATGAGACCCTGCTCAGGAGCGTTGGCTGGCTGTCTGTCTCTATATCATGATATAAACATAGAAATGGAAAAAGTTGTATTTTCTAAACAAAGTATGAAAAGATCTTCAATAAAATAAAGCATACAACTCACTTGAAAAATTTATTTTTGACATCTTCATGAGGATGTAAAGGTCTACATGTCAATAGAAATATACATAAATATGTACATATTAAAATATACATACACACACACACATACCTCATATATCTCTTGCTTCTTTGTCAAGGAGAATTTCGTCTCTCGGTGTCCGAGCAGGAGAGCATCATTACAGCGGGGACCTCACAGAAGAAGTGGCGGATCTCCCGAGATCTGCAGAAGGGGAAGGTCATGGTGATGGGAGTGAGCATGAAGCCATCCACCAATCCCAGGAACCAGCACCCAGAGGCCAGAAGAAGACACACCCGAGATCTGCAGAAGGGGAAGGTCATGGTGATGGGAGTGAGCATGAAGCCATCCACCGATCCCAGGAACCAGCACCCAGAGGCCAGAAGGAGACACACCTTGTGGTTCATGAAGACAGAGTAACGGAGAGGATGGCAGATGGCCACATAGCGGTCGTAGGCCATGGCTGCTAGAAGAAAACATTCGGAACCCACTAGTGTCAAATAGAGGAACATCTGTATCCCACACCCAGGGGCCGAGATCTCATCCACGCCCATGACCTGGTCTAGGAGCATCTTGGGCACAGTGACGGAGATGTACATCACGTCCATGACAGACAGCTGGCCGATGAGGAAGTACATGGGGGTGTGGAGGCGGCTGTCAGAGTGGATCAGCAGGATCAGGATGGCATTTCCAGACAAGGCCATCAGGAAGATCACAAAAATGACCACACAAAGGAGAGCTGGGTGTTCAGACTGACTGAAGAGTCCCACCAGGATGAAATCCACCCATCCGGTGTGGTTGGCCATCCAGGTCACGTTTTCCGTGTTCTCACCTAGGCCACGAAGCAGAGCCTTGGATTAATGCAGTGTGAGTCTCTGGAGTGATTTTTCGTGAACACACACATGTATGTGTGTGCGCCAACCTCAGTGTGCTGACTGGGAAGGTTTGTTGGGCCTGCAGATTTGGTGATTATAAGCGGCCTGGTTTTTAACAAATTAGAAAACAGAATTTCCAACTGTGGGTGTAAAGAATTGGAAACTCACAGGGAGGCTGACACAGTTCAAAGAACTGAAAGTTCCTGACGACAGAGTCATTTATCACCAGCCTTGGGAACTGCAGAATCTCTGCCCTACACGAACACTAACAGTAAATCCCTGGAAAACAGAGAAATTAAACTTTCTTACAGAGTTGGGGTTTTTTTTGGTTTATTTGTTTGCTTGTTTTTTTGTTTTTTCATAGCAGTGTAACTTAGTAAACCTCTCTGCTTTAAGGATCCAACTATGACCTTAAAACTCTTAGATATTTATTACATAGAAGAAAGATTTAAAAGACTTAGAAACTGAAACATAATTAGGGTAAAGCCATACTGTACATTTGAACCGGCTCTGCCTGTGTGAGGGCTCCCGTGGTGTGGGCTTAGCTTCACATTCCCTGGAGCAGGCAGGGTCCTCATACACACACGACACCACAGAGATCTGAGGGGCACAGGGAGAGGAGTCCCGGCTGCAGCCCTGGGTCAGCTTCTCACCAACCATGCCCTGTGCCCTCTGCACCCAAAGAAGATCATGCGTGACCTCAGGGGACATGAGGACCAAACCATGTGAAGGAATGAAAGTCCTCAGAATACCGTGATTACAGATGAGCACAGGCTTCCTATTAAAGAGTTAGTATCCACACTAAGTTCACTGCAGAGCCCATGTAGAGATGGCTGTTACTATCACTCCCTTATCACAGGAGAGGCATCGCACCGATTCTCCAGTCCAGACTTCCCCAAACACGCAGGAGCCACAGATATGGCTCCTGTATGACCCTGTGCTCAGTGGGCGGCCTGGCCTGGACCAACTGGCTAGAAGGCTGGGGTCTCAGTTATCACATGAGACCCTGCTCAGGAGCGTTGGCTGGCTGTCTGTCTCTATATCATGATATAAACATAGAAATGGAAAAAGTTGTATTTTCTAAACAAAGTATGAAAAGATCTTCAATAAAATAAAGCATACAACTCACTTGAAAAATTTATTTTTGACATCTTCATGAGGATGTAAAGGTCTACATGTCAATAGAAATATACATAAATATGTACATATTAAAATATACATACACACACACACATACCTCATATATCTCTTGCTTCTTTGTCAAGGAGAATTTCGTCTCTCCTTCTATAATAAACGCTTCTCCAAGTTCAAGTATTAAAAAATCCAATCATTTAGACTAAATCTCAGAGCACCTCTAAATTAAGAGAGTGAATGCTATTTACCAGTAATTTTCCAAAGACTAACTAGGATATTCAACTTAGTAAAATGCCAAACATTGGGTTGCTGATGCTGTAGACAACACTGAAAATAAATTTGATGCCTTCACATAAACATTAACCAATTCAAGAATACATATGTGTGTGTGTACATATGTATTTAAGAATACACACACGTGCATATTCCTAACAAATCCCCTATCCTCCTTCTTCTGGCAGATAGAGGCTGAGCTCTGGGCAAAATATGAAAAGAGTTCCATAACACACCTGCTGACCCGGTCTCTACCAACTACGTGAAGCGAGGATGAAGCAGCACCACCACGCGTGAGGACCCAGGAGCTGTCTGCTGCGTAAATACAGCAGGAGGGCGGGACCCTGGGCAGGTAAGGGGCCACCGTCATGGGCAAACGGAGCAACCCTCCTGGGACAGGCCACCAGGGAACACTATGTCCCTACACTGAAGAAAAACGCAACTATAGAGCTAAACAAGTAATAGACATCTCTGCTGCACATCTCTGGTTTCTTCTAACAGCTTTTGAGTCCTCCTATGTTAACCAACACTAGCCATAATCTCAAACCTCGCCACTATCGATAGAATCTGACATTTTAGTTAATACACACCCTTAGGCTTCTGTGCTTTTCAAACTACTTTTCACATACGTGTGTGCATATGTTTATTTAATCAAGTGACTTTTGTGAGACATTGTTATTTTTCCTACAATGTCTCAGAGGTGTAGAACCTGAAATCCAGAGACCCACTGGAGAGTCACAGGCAACCCTCCCAGCAGGTGGACGAGACTGAAACCAGGTCATCTCCTGCTTCCTCGCTCCCTCTTCATTAGGCGGCCGGCTGTACTCCTCTGTCGTTCACTTGCAATCTATTTTTTAGTGCTGCCATTTAATTTTAACATGCTAGCTTCTATTTGAAATACTGGGTATTTTTCTTTTTTTCTTTTTTTATTTTTTATTTATATTTTTTAATACATTCAATCACATTATTTAGTTTACAAGATGATTATTTCAATATGTGAATATTTCTCCCCAGTCGAGTTGATCAAAATATAGAAAAACTTTGCACCAGAAAATCAATCAATAAAAATTTAAAACTCAGCCATAATGTAATCACCCAGACAAAAAATCACACTTCATAAGATATCTTACTTTCAAACTACAAATATGTATTGAACACACACTCTGTACCAAGCAGTTGGTTTAAAAAAAGGAAGAGGCAATGTCACCCTCTTAGATCTTGCAGCCAAATTCTTCTAAGCTTTCTTTCTTTGTGTTTTCTCGAAAATATTATTTTCTGAGCTTTGTGTATACAGTCTTTGTCAGACGATGTCTTATTTTTGTCAGAAATATACTACATGGAGAACAATATGGAGATCCCTCAAAGACCTACAGATAGAATTACTATATGATCCAACAGTACACTCTTGGTTATCTACCCAAAAGATAAGAGAATTTTCAGTCATAGTTGAATCTATGTTTACTTTGGCATTATTCACAATTGCTAAGACATGAAATGAATCCACATGTCCATGAACAGATGAATGGATTGAAAAGGTGTGACAAATATACTCTACGGCATTCTACTTACCCATGAAAAAACAATCCTGGCATTTGATACATAGTGGATGAATATGGGAGATTTACTGATGAGTGAAGCAAGCCACATTATGAAAGAGGGGTACTGGATCTCTCTCCTTAATAAATACTGACTGTCCACACTCTATGGTAGAGACTAAAAGACTGGAAGGCATAAAAGCATTGAAAATAGTTATGGTCTGGTGACAGCAGGTGGCATGGTGGATGGGGTGGTGGACTCCCACATGGCCGACCACAGTACTCGTCCCAGACCTGGCAGCTTGCTTGCTTTCTTTCTTCCTTTCTTTCTCTCCCTCTCCCTCTCCCTCTCCCTCTCCCTCTCCCTTTCCCTCTCCCTCTCCCTCTCTCTCTCTCACTCTCTCTCCCCCCGAATCTGATCAAATTAAAATAAATATATTAAATAAATAAAGTTAAAAAAGGAAATAATTATAGATACAAAAGACAGTGTGGAAAGAGGGTGTGAGATGGGAAGAGTATAGGGAAGGAAATTAGGGAGAAATAATAGAGAGGCAAGACATTTATGGGAAACAGAAATGGTTTACTACCTGTTGATGACATGTATAGTATTCTCAGTGGGGCTGGTCTGAAGTGTATTTCATGTTGGGTAAATTCTCTTTACAAGACAAATAATGTACAAGAATCAGATATATTTTAAAAATAAAAATAATAAATACACTAAATCATCAGGGTTTTCTTTCTATTCACAAAGAAAAAACTCCAGTTCATCTTTTAATTTTTTTGAAAAATTCCTGATATTACAGAAGTAAACTTAAGTGTATTAATTTTCCACTCTTATATTTCCATGACAAACAGGAAAATTCATGAGAAAAAGAAAAATAATGAAAAACAAAAGAAAACAAGGAGAAGCTTATAAAACTAAACATGGATCTCAGCATTAACAGCTGAACAGAGAAAGGAATTAAAATGCTTTCATTTTAAATATGACGAGTGGATGATAAAGTGTGTAAAACTGAAAATTGACAAACTATTCACAACCTGAAATCACTGACTGCTCAGAAACTACACAGATGAATCGTGGGTGGTGGTGAGCAGCATGAAGGGTTGATGGATGAATCTGCATTGTTCTAGCGGCTCCCCATGCCACCCGTCTCTGAGGAAATCCTGACATTGATTAGATATTGAGCCAGGCTAATGCTGGAAGTAGATCCAGTGATAGTAACCTACCTATCAGTAGATCCGTCCACCAAGTTTGCAATTATGATCTGAGACCAGACATCTGATGGATCTCATTGATTTTGGCACCTTGATGCCCACTGATGCAGCCTGTGCTACCTGTCCTGACCACCTACAAAGACAATTGGAGAACTGGATGGTTCAGGCCAGTACAGAATTTCACGCCCTTCAGGAGGAACTGGGAGACAGCTGCCAACACGACCACATGGATCTGTTTGACACACTCAGTGATGGACTGTGGAATACCAGAAATAGTGATGGCTCACTCAGCTGAGCTGGGGAGCATATCCCCTGCCACCTGGACCTGAGCCCCTGTACTCTTTCAAAAATCCTTGATCGTGCCAGTACCACCTTTTCCAGTGAGAGAACCACTCTAACTAGCAGGGACCACCAGCCTCAGGGTGACTGAGGGTTTACTGGCGGCTGTGCTATTGTCCTCTTCCAGCTCTTCAGTGATCATAGCAAAAGCTCTGAAGATGGCATTAGTAGGTCCACCTGAAGTGATTATCCTCTCAGAACAATTCCCTTCTGTGATGCTGATACATGCCCCACTCTCCTCGCACTTCTTCTTAACTGTTTCTCCTTTCTTGCCAATGATACTGCCAACTTCCTTGCCATACAGAAGTAGCTGGACGGTGACAGTGACATTGAATCCACCTCCAATCACACCAGTTTGCATGTCTAGCAGTGTTCTGGGGAGCTGGACTTTGAGTGGTCATGTCTTTTGTCACTGGTGGGGCTGAAAGCCAAAAA